TGCCGCCCCGCCCCCCGTCTGGTCTGGCCCCCTTCTGGGCCCCCCTCCCGCCCCTCACCTGCCTGCTGCCCGCCTGCCTTGCCAGCCAGTCAGTCCCGCTTCTCGGGTGCGAGGCGGGTGTCTGTGTCAAGGGCGTCAGGCTCCTCTTCCCTTCAAAGTCTTTTGATCACAGCAGGGCTCAGGTGAGCGTGTGTCTCCAGACGTGCGCTTAGATGCGAGGTGTGATTTTTTTTGTTTAGCTTTTTAAGTTGATGTGGACCTGAGAATAAGGCAAGCTTGTGTTTCTCTGCTGAGGGGTAGATAGCAGAGGGCGTGGAAGACATTAAATGCAGGTCTCTCGCTGTCGTCTGCTTCTCTCCTACTTCAGCGTAAGTAAAAAGTTGCAGAGCAGGGGTCACTTTCTTGCTTTGCCTTCAAACGTGGAAACGGGAGAAGCGTCTCGGATTGGGTTTAAATTGTAACATAAAAAGACACATGGAAAATGCTGGAAATGATTGTGCAGGGTTAATAAATGCTGTTCCACCTTCTCTGCTGCGTGCAAATGTGTAACTGGCTGTACCGCAGGCGTAGCGCTTGGTGCTGCAGTTGCTTTGTTGACCTTAAACCTGCACTGCCCTGAAGTTTGGAGGAGTTGAAGATGTGTTTGCGTTTGTGGACTGTGTTTTTCCTGTTGGCTGTTAATTTAGCAAACTGCGTAGAGTGGGTTTGGAGTCTGCTGTCACTTGACTTTTTTGTGTTGAGTTCTTATGCTTCATGGTCCCGTTAACTGCAAAGCTTTTTCTGGAGGTTGCGTGCTCCTCCGATGTTTTTCTGTGGTTTGATGAATTTAGACTGTTTTGAAAACGTTCTGGTTTTTTAAATGACTCTAGTTTGGGAGAAGGGTGTCTGTGTGTACAGGAACAGAAGAGATGTCTGTGGGTGTTGGAAAACAGCTGAGGGAAGAGAGACTGTGTAATAAGGGGTACCAGAGGGTTGGTATAATCATACCAACAACCTGTGGGTGAATGTATTTAAAAATAATCCTGTGATTGGATGTCTAAAACACCAGGGCTGGGTTCTAGGTAACTCTGAGCATCTTTACATCCTTCCAGAGCTGTGGATGTTCAATGCTTATTTTTCTTTCCCCCAGCAAGTCAAAATCATTGTTTAGGACCTCTGAATGTTGGTCTTGAGGAGAGCTGCTGCGGAGGGGAGGGGGACAGGGACTGTCCTTGGTGTTGGATTTCAGCAGGAACTCTCTGGCCGCAATGATTGCTTCAGGCGGGGGAATTTTAGCTCTTGATAGCACAGCAGTATGAGTCAGGAGCTGCAATAATTTCTTTTTGCTTGACCTGTGACTCTAGCTAGTACGCTGACTTAGGCAATCCCCACTGCGAGTGCATGTTTCAGGCATATCTGGTGTTAAACTTTGCTTCATGAGGTTACATAAAACATAAGGTGAGCAGCCTTGAATGTGTGGTTACTTGGTGAAGCAGATGGGCTTGGTACAGGTCAGACAGGTTTGCTGTTAGAAAAAAAGCTCAGGAACCAGGAATAATTTTCTTCTAGTAACTTTGCTGCTAATTGTAGGAAGATGCGTTCAGGTTTGTACCTTCCTTATGTGAAACTGATACCAGCATTTCACACTGCAGTGCTGTTCTCTGTTTTCCAGGTGATACGTAAGTATTCCTGGTGGCTGTCTTACAAAGGGAGATTACTTTTTGTGTTGTATGGAAAGGTGAACTGAAATGCAGACAGCTTCCTCCAGGTCACAAAATAAATGAGTGTTGGAGGAGTTCTTTGCTCTCTAGTTGTGCTTTAAATCCGCTGTTCCTTGCTGTTGTGCAGTTAATGATGAAGGTGTGTCTGTGTCACGTGTTAGTGCTGCTAGGCCCAAGTTACCATAAGGTAATCAAACTTAATTGAAATCTGCAATGCGTTGGCTAAGCAGAGCTGATGATTTAATTTCTGTACGATTTAGAGTGAGTGCAACAGACGGTGGGGTGGGTAACTCGCGGTCTAGCATGACTCCGTACAGTCAATGTGGAAAGCATTGCCGTTAGGAAATGACACCTGTTTGGCACACTTGTGGGTTGTTCTGCTTAATGGTAGAAGACTTTAGTTCTTTATTTTCTTTTTTTTTCATAGGCAATTTGAACTCCTGGGCTTTTAGAGCAGAGATTGTAATTATCCATTATTGTGTTGAAATAGTTCCTGGCAAAGATTGCTCATGTATTGACTTGGGGGTTGCTTGTATTCCAGATAATCTCAGTTTGTATTCAGAAATTTCATCTGTGCTGGGATCTGTCACTTTGGGACCTTGTGTGTGCCAGTGGTGACATTCGGGTGTATATACCTAGGCTCCACTGATGGGAAAGCCGGTATTCGCAGGAGGCCTGCTGACCGAGAGGTCATCTATAATATTTTATTGTCATTTCTTTGTGACATTACCTTTGAGAAATAATTTTTGAGAGGAGTATTCAAGCTGGGAGGATGCTTCGGGTTTTGTGTGTGCGACTGTTTGTTTGTTTGTTTTTTCTGCCTTCTGTTCCTGAAGGAAGGTGATCGCTGTCTGACAAATGGAGCGGGTTCAGCAGAGAGCCCCTGTGATTCAGTCCCCTTGTTTAAGCGCTCCATTCTCCCTCAGATAAAGCTGTTATCTGTCTTGCAGATAAGAACTCGTCTTCAGTTTTTTGGCTGTGGAAAGCATAGTTGAGGTGTTCCCAGCAACAGCCTTTTAGCAACTGAAGAATGAAGCACTGTTCTTTCTTGCCAAGATTTTCTCAGATCTGTGGCTCATGCCTTCCTTCCCAGCTTAGTTCAAAATGCGTCTCCTGGACTCCTCTGAATAATACAGCTGGCTTTGCTAGCAGAGGTTTAGATTTAACCATTTCTCAGTGTTCGGCAACTGGCTTAATTCAAGTCAGATAATCTAAAACCATGCAAAGAAGTTGT